GCGGTCATTGCGCGCTGTTCCACTCCCTCCTCTGCCTCTGCCGGCCGTCTGATCCTCCCCATGCTATTCCCTGACCTTGCGTCCCTCCCCACTGTCGCTGATCTTGCCACTCATCTATGCGCTTTTGAGACTAGCTACCGCGCTGCTAGCACTAATGTCCAACTCGCTGCATTCCCTCCTTCCCTGTGCGCTACCCTTTACCTAATTGCCAAGCGCCTTCCTGACTGCCTTGCCACTACCCGCGACCACTTCCTTTGTCAGCACACAGGTGACCACACCCTTACTGCCTTTGTCACCACCCTGTCTGCGATAGAGACCCGCAAATGCACTACTCCTCAGTCTAGCGGTACTGTTGCGGTCCCTATCTTCCAGGGTTATCTTCCCTCCCAGTGCTCTTACTCTGACGTTTCTGCCGCTGACACTGAGACAACCCCTGCTGCTGAGACTACCGCCGCAGCGGCCTCAGCGCAACCTCGTAAGGGTAAGGGCTGCTGCCCCAAGGGGGCACGTGGTGGAGGGAGGGGTGGTGGGGGTGGTGGTGGTAGTGGAGGTGGTGCGAGTGCCGGTGGTACCGACGAGGAGACTGGGGCTGATCTCCCGGAGCAGCAGCAGTGGCAATCGCAGTAGCAGCAATGGGGCCGCCTCCCGCCCCGATGGCCCAGCGCTTCTGGTGGTGGTGGTCGCGGTGGTGGCCCTAGCAGCTCGCCGTTGGGTGGCAGCTTCAGCTTTGTGACTTGCCAGTACCAGCTCCAGTCAGGTCCCTTCCGTGGCATGTGGCTGTACCAGTCACACCACCACCAACTGCTACCGCCACCTCGACGACCTCTTTTGTTTCCACTTCAGCCCTGCACCGGACCCTCCCGATTGGCCCAGTTTTGTATATCGTCGTGTGCCAGACTTTGAGATGGACATGGATCAGATTTTCTTTGGTTTGTATTCCACGTATGCTGATGACTCTATTGTAGCATATGCTCATCGCTTGTGCCCCCGCCGCTTAACGCTACCGCCGCGCTCTCAATCACATCGGACTCTGGTGCGTCCCCCTGCTTCTTCCGCGACCGCACGGCGCTTATGCCGCTTGCCACCCCTGCCGCTTTCGCGCTTGTTGACCCCTCCTCAGCTCCGGTAGTTGCACGTAGCTCCACTACCCTTCCCTGTCTGGCGCTTCCCTCGGGCTCACTTAGAGGCTTGCACATCCCCTCGTTCTCAAGGAACCTAGTTGGTATCGGCTGTCTTCAGGACCTAGGCGTCACCTCTACGTTTCCTGGTTACGAGTAGTGTCTGTGCTGAGGCCGCCACAGGTGCCCCCCTCACCACCTTCCGCCGTGACCCAGTGTTCACGCTGGACACTTCGTCCCCCCGGTGAGGGCGTCCCCCCAGGTGCCTGCGTCCACTCAGGTCTGTGCGGCTTGCTCGTGTCGGTCGCTCTCCTAGCCGTCGCTGCTGTGGCACCACCGCTTAGGTCCCCCTGCACTCTCATGTCTGCCTCACATGTCCCACCAGGGTCTTGTCTTAAGTCTCCCTGTATCACTCCCTGCTCTCCCTCCCTCACCTGCGACCCCATGCATGCCCTGCGTCGAGGGTCGGCTACGCCGTGCTCCTCACTCCTCCTCGCTTCCCCCTACCATTGCGCCACTTCAGACCCTCCACCTGGACGTCTGGGGTCAGCCTCCGTCCCAACGCCGCGTCGAGAGCGCTACTTTTAAGTGCTTGTCGACAAATACATGCGTTACACCATGGTGTTTCCCCTGGATCCAAAGGCCGGCGTGTTTGGCGTTCTTATCCCGTGGGTCGTAGCTGCGCGATTCCATCGTGGCCTCCCTGTGCTGCGTCTTTACTCTGATGGTGGCGGCGAGTTCACCTCCAGTCGGCTTGGCCAGTTTTGTCATACAGAGGGCATCACCAACTCGTACACTCTGCCAGACTCCCCGTAGCATAATGGGGTCGCTGAGCGACGCATCGGTTTGGTCATGGAGGTGGCTCGTACCTCCATGATCCATGCCGGTGCACCGCATTTTCTGTGGCCGTTCGCTATTCACTACGCCGCTCATCAGCTTAACCTGTGGCCGCAATCCCAGCGGCCGCAGGTTTCGCCGACCCTCCTCTGGACCGGGTCCCCTGGTGACGCGTCCGCGTTCCACGTCTGGGGCTGCCTCGCTCATGTTTGTGCCTTTGGCACGGACAAGCTCACTGCCCGCACTGTCCCTTGTGTCTTCCTTGGCTTCCCCCTAGATGCGTCTAACTGGTACTTTTACGACCGCCGTCTCACTGCTTCTTTCACTTTCGTGACGTCACTTTTGATGAGTCTGTCTCCTTTTACCACCGCTTTCCCCACCGAGGTCTCCCGGTTTTCCCGTCCCCCTTCCTGATCCCCACTCCCCCGGTAGCCCCCTCACCGCTCCCTCCCCGTCCTGCCCCGTCTGGTGTGTCTTACATCACTTCCCTCTCATCGGTTGTTCCGGTGGAGGCATCGGCTGACTCAGGGGGCCCTGCAACTCAGTTGTGTTCGCCTATCTCCGCCCCTGTGTCTCCTCCTCCGCCGTTGCCGCCGCAACAGCAGCCGTCGCCGCAACAGCCGCAGCAGCCGTCGTCGCCGCAGCCGCAGTAGCTGCCGCCGTAAGTGCTGGTGCTTTGGGTGCCATTTCTGGGGGTGCTAGTCCTAGGGTTATTGTTGTGGCTTGTCCCGTTAGTCCTAGGGGTGGCACCGGTGCTGGAGAGGGTTCTCGTTCTGGGGGTGCTGTTGTGGAGCGTCCTGGAGGTAGCTGTGGTGTGGTTGGAAGCTTTGTTGTCGGTGTAGAGCAGAGCAGCAGTCACCGCCGGTGTCTGCCCTTTGCCTCCTCGGCCCTCCCTCCCCTGACCACCCGCCTGTCTATGGCCCTGTGTTTCCTCCGCCGGACTTGTCCTCGGCTTGATTCCTCTCTCCTTCCTCTCGTATGTCCCCTCCTGTGTCTCCTGACCCGACGCCTCCGTCCCACTTGTGGTCTCGCCGTCCCTTTTGTGCTCGTCCTGTCTCCCCGGTTCAGCATTCTCACCTATGTTACTCCGTCCTCACGTGTCTTGTGCTCCTCTTCTCCCGTCGCCTCCTCAGTTGTTGCTTGTTGTTGCTCCGCCTCCTCTCTCTGACTTTCCTCATGCGGCTAGTCCTCTTGTTCCTCATGTCCTTGCCTCTCTGGTTACCGACCCGTCCATTCCTATCTGGAGTCTTGACGCTCTTGTTGCCGCCGTTACTGAGTTTGCCTCTACTCGCTGCCTTGACTACGCTATTGCTCTGATCTCTGACCTTATCCATCCTCAGACCGCCGAGGGTGCACCTGCCCTTGGCAGTGACTTCTTAGAGGATAGGGAGTACGAGCTTGCTTTCCTGTCCAAGGCCATCCCACATCTCTTCTCCATGCTGCTAGTCCCGGAGGGTGACCTAGAGGCCCTTGACATTCTGACCACTCGCACCTACGCTGAGGAGACCTCGGAACCCTTGGCTCCTCACTGGATAGCCGCCATGGATGCGGAGATGGCATCTTGATCCACCGGCACCTACGCCAACGCAGTTCCCCCACCTGGGGTGAACGTAATCGATGGCCGGTGGCTCTTCAAGGTGAAGCGCCCTCCTGGATAGCCACCGGTGTTCAAGGCGTGCTACGTTGCTAGAAGCTTTAGTCAACGCGAGGGCGTTGACTTCTTTCAGACCTTCGCCCCCACTTCGAAGATGACCACACTTCGGGTGATGCTTCAGGTAGCAGCACAGCCCGACTATGAGCTGCACTCTCTTGACTTCTTTGCAGCATTTCTCCGGGGCATTATGCACGAGCAGGTCTACCTACGCCGACCACCGGGCTTCACTGGCAATTTCCTTCCACGGACCCAGTGGCTCCTCTGGCGCCCGGTTTACGGCCTCGTGAGTGGCACGATATGCTGCGTACTACGTTAGCTGACTCGCTGTTCTTTCCGTCGTCTGCAGACCCTTCGCTCAGACCCCGTTCTACATCATGGACTACGTAGACAAACTGGTCTTTGCTACTGCAGACAGAGATGCACTGGCCTCCGTAACAGCTGAGCACTGAGGAGACACACCAGCACTGACCTAGGAGAGCTGTGCCGCTACCTTGGTCTACATATGTCCAAGGATAGAGCAGCGCGCACACCATCACTCTCACACGGTTACACTTGGAGTGCTAAGTCCTTCAGAGGTTCGGTCTTCAATTCTTCTCCGCACAGCCCACACCTCTGCCATTCAGATCACAGGCTTTTGGCTCCTATCCCTGACGAGTCAATTGAACCCAGTGGCTTGTACGCAGAGCTGGTGGGTTGCCTCATGTACCTGATGACTTGCACTCGTACAGATCTCGCATACCCTCTCAGCATCCTGCCTCGCTTTGTGGCGACAAGCAGACACCGACCACAGCACTGGTCAGCAGCTGAGAGGGTTTTGCGTTATCTAGCAAGTACATCGTGCATGGGGTAGTGCTAGGAGGATGCAGGCTTGTGGTCCTTACAGGACACATAGACACTTCATGCGCAGACGACGCTGAGACTCTTAGGTCCTCCCTGGGCTACTGCTTTAGCCTTGGTGGAGGTGCCATCTCTTGGAGGTCCACCCACTCGTCGTCTGTTTCCCAATCCAGCAGAGAGGCTGAGATCTACGCAGGTGCCATGGCGGCACTGGAGCTCCGCTGGCTGACCTTCTTGCTCACAGACTTAGGTGAGCGGCCTAGCTCTGCCTCGGCCTTGTACGCTAACAAAAGGGTCGTGATCGTCCTGTGTCAGGAGCCTTGACTTGAGGGCAGAGCCTCGACTTGAGGGCAGAGCGGAACTTCCACCCTGGTTTGCTCGTGGCTAGTTTGTACTCTTCTGACTCGTCTTCTGACCCTTGTCTGAGCTAGTAGTGCCACCCTGAGCTTCGTGTCTCTTGTCAAACACTGCCCCTTGTCTAGCCTAGGGGGTGCATACTCTTAGAGAGTACAACACCCTAGTACAAACTCACCTTGTACCCACTATTCTAGTGAATTTGTTACTATGAGACTAACGTTCAGATGTAGAGAGACTGGACGTTTCTGCAAGAAAACGAAGAAGAAGTTGAAGAAGAAGAAGAAGAAGAAGAAGAAGAAGAAGAAGAAGAAGAAGAAGAAGAAGAAGAAGAAGAAGAAGAAGAAGAAGAAGAAGAAGAAGAAGAAGAAGAAGAAGAAGAAGAAGAAGAAGAAGAAGAAGAAGAAGAAGAAGAAGAAGAAGAAGAAGAAGAAGAAGAAGAAGAAGAAGAAGAAGAAGAAGAAGAAGAAGAAGAAGAAGAAGACGAAGAAGAAGAAAAAAGAGGCGACGACATCGTCTTAGGGTTTCGGAGCTTATTCCTTCATATATTGGCTATATTGAAGAGTGTTGATGTACACTCGACAGAGTTTACTCATGCATTCCTGATATTACACTAAGACTGTACTAGTAGCGCGATCCCTCATATGGAAGGACGCGTGTGATGACGTCAGCAGTAGCGAGTCAATGCGTGAACAGTGGGTTCCTGCGTATAGTAGCCCGAAGGGTCAAGCCACTCTCAGTCACATGAACAGTCACTAGTCATGTCATGCGAATAGTCCTGTGACACTACGATGTTAGGATTAAGGACGGAGTCTAGGTGAACTTAGGAGCTAGAATTACTCAAAATATAAATCCGAAATTCTAGACAGAAAAGTCATCTTCACAAGAAACGACGTCGACAAAAAACTAACTGTTGGAATGTCGCCAAAACCGGATATGTTGTAGCGTGTAATCTTAGTTACCGCTCTCAATTTGAATCACGTCGATTGATAGAGTATTCGCGACGCTATGTCCTTCGACGCACTAGGGGGTAAGCTGTAGGAGGAGAACTTAAAGCGCGTGACCCAAGTAACACCAAGACTCAGAGTCTTTGATTCTTGGTCCCGCTCGCCAACTTCGCGAGGTGGGGGCGAAACGACGGGCAACAGGGAGGTTGGGCGAAGGGAGGGACTTGGGTTGGCAACACTCGGCGACCATAAAAAAAGCGTTCAGTTTCGAGCGCGTGAAGGGGGGTGTTCAAACATAACAAAATCACAAATACTGAAGCCGCGCCGCCATGCAAAATAGCCCCACGAACAGGACCAGCCACGCGAGCCATAACACCCCAAATGACACCAAACACGCAACCAAAGGGCTCGGAAAATTACCTAGGTCGACGAGGGGGCAACCCACGATGTGCGCCCAAACACCGTCAACGTAATCAACTCCAGAGTCGTGAGAAAGAAAGGGAACCCTAGAAATTCTCCTGGAGGCCTCCGCCCGAAGGAAGGCGACCGAAGATAGGTGCGCCAAACACGCGCCTGATAAAACGTGAGAGACGGACGACGGACCCCTGCCACTAGGTCTCGCATCAACTCCCTCGCTCCCCTGCACCAAGAATGCTCCCTTGGCACGGAAACCCCTCCCATCGCGCGGGTTGGGACACGCTCTGCACCGCGCCCCCACCCACACTGCCGTCCGCGAGTTCCCTCTGCGTCACCACACTCCCTTACACCGCACGCCACTCACTCCCGCCTCCAAACTCCAACCCCCACGACCTCATGCCGTTCCGCTGTGCCACATCCCCGCCGTCTGCACAACATTACCTCTCATTGCCCCACTTTCTGAAGGGCCGCACCACTCTCGTACTTGCTGCACCCCACTCTCACACGCTGCCCTGCACCCCTGCCCCCACAAGCTCTTGTACCACAGTCCCCGGCACGGGGTGCCCCGCCCTCCTGCTGAACCACCGACGGCCCCGCTGCACCTCACTCCCAAGCGGGAAGCCCCCCACTCTCGCCCGGGAGTTCCGCACCCCCATGAAACGCTCGAGTGGCATGCTCCCTCACGTCGCAACACGGGTCCATCCGCTGCTCTGAGGGACGTTACGCCGCACTGCACAGGCAACCGCTGCACCACAGTCTGGGGCACTGCACCACATTCCCTCCTGCTGCATGCATGCACCTCTCTGCCTTGTCCGCAGCAAGCACACACGCGCCGCACTTCGCAGCCTTGGCTGCTCAAAGCACACACGCACCGCACCTCACTGCCTTGGCTGCTCAAAGCACACACGCGCCGCACCTTGCAACCGTGGCTCCTAAAAGCACACATGCTGTCACCTCGCAGCCTTGGTTGCTCAAAGCACACACGCTGTCACCTCGCAGCCTTGGCTGCTCAAAGCACACGCGCTGTCACCTCGCAGCCTTGGCTGCTCAAAGCACACACGCTGTCACCTCGCAGCCTTGGCTGCTCAAAGCATACACGCTGTCACCTCGCAGCCTTGGCTGCTCAAAGCACACGCACTGTCACCTCGCAGCCTTGGCTGCTCAAAGCACACACGCTGTCACCTCGCAGCCTTGGCTGCTCAAAGCACACACGCTGTCACCGCGCAGCCTTGGCTGCTCAAAGCACACGTGCTGTCACCTGGCAGCCTTGGCTGCTTAAATCACACACACTGTCACCTCGCAGCCTTGGCTGCTCAAAGCACACACGCGCTGCACCTCGCAGCCTTGGCTGCTCAAAGCACACACGCTGTCACCTCACAGCCTTCGCTGCTCAAAGCACGCACGCTGTCACCTGGCAGCCTTGGCTGCTCAAAGCACATGCGCAAGCATGGATGATCTGTTGTACTTTTTGGCGCAGCATGCTAAAGATGCCGTCAAGCGTCTGGAGGAGGCAGCCTACCATGCCGGTAAGCGCGATTCTATGCTCCCACCCTGGGGTGTTTGCCTTGCACCGCCCCACTAATGCTGTCACCCAAAACGGCCTAGAACATTCCACTGTGCCCAGTCTCGCAGGCCGACGGGGCTGCAGCTCGAAGCCTTGGGCCCCACAAAAGAGGGTGGTGGTTTGGGGTCCCTGGACTACGGAATGATGGATGTGCATGAGGGGTTACGGCCCACGACACTTGTGTGTCACATGTTGCACAATATTACATGCAAGCGGTCGAGGCTTCACACCACCCTCCAAATACCCAACACTTCGTGCAGGGTGCTGCTAAGACAATGCCATTTCACCTACTACCCAACCCGCAGTGCAAGCGCTATGCAGAGGCCAATCCCTTCCCCCCTCATCCCACGCATGGGATGCGAAGGGGCCGAGGGCCCACTTGGGGTGTCACGTGCGCCCTCTACACCGTGCCCTGCCGCACTCGGTCCGTCGACACCCAGCAGGTGAGCCGCATGATGCTTGGCACGTGATTAGGGACGGGCGTACTATGAGGCCAGACCACTCCATTAGCGACCCCGCCCATCCCCACAAACACCCCTCCCCAAAACCCGACATCCCCCCTCAAACGGCAGTGCGACCGGCTTGCTGAGGCCAGCTCCCTCCCTACCTATTCCGTGTACGGCCGAGGATGGGGTCGTTGGAGCTGATAGGCTAACGGGTGCGCCATCAATGCCGCGCCCCGCCGCACATGAATCCTTACCTCCAAAGGGGTGAGTCTCATTAGGCATGTCGTTGTTGGAGGTTGGTTGATAAATTCTCTCAGCCCGTACCGCTCCTGACCACGGCCATCCTCCCCGACACCAGAATGATAAGTGCCCATTCACCCCCTTACTTAAAAACCCCATCCGAACCACAGTGCCTTCACTTCGTCCTGGCCTCCACAACAAGCACCTCACCGACCGACCCTCAGCCCATCTGAGAGATCAGGGCGGGCCCCCGCGACACCATCCACACATTGCCCACCCTCCTCGGGGTTGGCCTCTCCCATCCGGTTAGTTAACGATGCTTGTTTCCAACAGAGGGGCTGTGCTAAGTGAGGCAGGTTACTAGCACCACTTGCGCAGAGGTTAGGAATTCCTGTCCCCTTTCCCCACACGCTCCTTTCAGCGTGCCACCTTGCCTAGAGTTTGCTCAGAGTTGCCCAGAGGCCCCACCCCATCCCACACACCCACCTTCCACCCACTGCTTCCCTTTCCTCTACAGGCCGTCAGGGACACCACCCCACAACCGTCTGAAAGACCTCGCCCGCAAGGCTAAACCAAAGGGGCGCGTCGCCTCTCCGAACATTGAATATTACAACGCTGCTGAAGTAGGTTTGCTAGAGGTCAGACATACTGTCAACTTCTTCAACGGATGCCGGATGGTGTGCGAGCACCATGCCGTCTGTGGGGGGTCCATGCGTCTAGTTGACGCAAGGCCATCATGGGCGTCGTGGGGTCTCTTCTGGGCGTGCACAGAGTGTTGCCACACCATAGAGTTTTGGACATGCACAAGGCGGGAGTTAGAGGCGGGGGGGAGGAGGAAGCCATGATCGCCAACACAGCTGTCCCGGTACCTGGGGGCGTTTGCACTGGCTGGGATGGGGTACCAACAAATGTGGGAATTCAGTCGCACATTCAAACTCCCATGTCCAGGCAAGTCAACGTTCTACCGGCACCTGGGGGCGAGAAGGGGTTGTGGAAAACCATCATTTGAGAGGCGGAGGCATCAATGCTGGAGGTTAGGAAAGATATTTTAGAAAGAAACCCTGATGGTGCTGAGTACGTATGCATGGACGGACGGTGGTCCTAGGTGCGAGAAGGAGAGTGGTGCACTGTCTCATGGATTGATGAACACACGGATGGAGGAAGAGGGATTTCCTATCGGGGGTATCATATCGGATCAAGGGAGTACGTTCAGGGGGGCTGTTAAAGAGCGGGAGATGAATCACCAAGTAGACTGGTGGCATGTGAAGCAGTCTATGAAGAAAGGGTTCTTAAAAGATTTGCAGGACCGATTGCGGCCAGTCGTCCCCGTTTGTGTGGCGCAACGAATCGAGGATTTATGGAACGCGAGTGTAGAGAACTTGCGGGCCTGGTTGGTAGAAAAGGGTAGAGTAAATGAAGCAAAGGCAACGCTCAAGGAGACGCTCGTACAACGCGTCTGCAAGGCGATGGGCCAATTCCCATATATTCAAATGACGCAGGACGATGCAAAATACATGTTTCCCGAGTTACGCAAGGTGATGCGGATTGGAGGGGACACCGCGTGTGTGGGTGTCCCGCTTTCCTATGGTGGGGTTCCGATTGGAAGCGATGACAGGCCCAGTTTCGAGGAGGATGCGGTTAACGCGAGGTTTGCGGCGGGAGATGGGGGGCGGGGGGGGGCTGAGGCGACCGCTGGACCAGCGGGTTCCGTTTGTGTGGAGGTTCAATTGGCGGACGTGGCAGAACGGTGGGGGTACAATGCACACGACAAGTTTGGGATTCGGCCATCTTCTGGCATCGATGATCATGGTGCAAGCGAACATGGGTGATATAGGGTGCGATCACTTCATTGGTGGAGCGATGCTGTGGCAGGAGATTCCTGCGCCTGCAGGTGAGGCACCCTTACTGTGCTGCAGCGAGATAGAATCATCCAACACTGACTGAAATCTCTGTGTGTTGGCAGATGTGACCCCTACGTCAACTATTGCAGGCCAAGACACATGTCGACATGGCCAGACCGATGCAGGGACCACGGGAAGTGTGGCACTGGAGGTCGTCCACGCGGGCCCCCTACCCCTATGGGAGAAGGGCTCAAAGTGGAAAAGGGGGTCGGCATCGGTAGAGGGGGCTGGTTGTAATAGGGGGGAGGAGGTGACGGTTGTACAGCGTCTACTAATCCACTTCTATCACGTCATGATGCGATGCGGCATCTGCAAGCGCGATGGCCATCCCATGACGGCGGCGGTCGTGTCAGAGGAGATTTGCATGTCCGCTGACCACTGGGCGGGGGATCATTCACGGTGTGCACGGGGGGGGATCACCCCCCCACGTTGCGTGTCTGAGCACTGGGGCAAGGAGAATGCCATATACAGGACGGATCGGAGACGCACCAAGCTGTGAAAAATTGGCTCACAAAGCACTATGGGGTGGAGCAGGTGAAGATGTTCATCCACGGTGCATGCAGTTCACTGAACGAGCCGTTTCACTCCCTTATTTGCAAGTATGCACCGAAACACTTAAGGCTGCGAGGTAGCTTCCGACCGAGGACCGCTCTGGCCGTTCTCCATTGGAACAACTGCATGGACCGTCTGGTGACAGCCTACGTTACACGAGTGGTCCGTGTTACGCGGATTCGACGCGGGAAGCACACTAGGGTATTGGGAAAAATGGATTGGGGCTGGGTTGACCGTATTATGGGGGAGTGGCAACTGGATACATCCAACGCTGTGGAGCGGGAGTGTACCGCAGACTTGGGGTGTGACGCGACACGGCGCACCCACACGCGGTGAGATACAGTGTGTCTTGCATCTCCAGACATTGTTGTCACTCCGCTCAGGACACCCCAGCACCTGAGCCAATGCCCTCCTTCACCTCGCCGTGTCGCACCTTCAAGCATTGCTCGGCAAATACTTGGTGAGACTTACACCCGTTCACTCATTGCATATTTCATGGTGACCCTCTTTATTGCGCTCGCCCAGGGTCCCTTTGCAACGCCAAAACGTCCAATCTGTCCCGCTGGCGTGTACCCCATAGGCCTACCGTGCGTTCCCAAACCCCCTTTTATGCTTTGCCTCCGACATATCCGTTCCCACGCATGCAGCTGCTGGCTCCAACTTGCTGCGGTAAGCGTCCGGCGGGCTGTGTGGAGACTCGCACCCTCAGGCGACCCTTCAAGCCCCCGAGGACCGCGCCTGGCCACGCGTCCCTATAAGCAGCGGCACTGCTAGCCTGACAGGTAAACAAATCCATACCAAGCTCCCTCCGCTCGGCAGATACTTGCTGTTTGGTGTGGCCATTTGGTGTGGCTGTGAGTTGTGGGGCATAGGTGTGCCGCGTGTGCGTGATAAGGGTGGCTGATTGTGGTTGCCGATTGTGGTTGCCGATTGGTGTGGCTAATAGGTAGAGCATAAGGGTGTGCAAGGCAGGTGGGGCTTACAGGTCTGGCGGTTTGGAAACCCCAATAGGTGTGGCTGTTTGGCATGGCTGCGAGGCGCGGCAATTTGGCATGGCTGCGAGGAGTGGCTGCTTGGTATGCCTGATATGTGTGGCTGTTCAACATGCCTCTTAGGTGTGGTTGTTTGGCGCACCTGACATGTGCAGCGCATTTTCTCTGCATGGCATGCTTGACATGTGCATCTACCTGGCATGCCTGAAATATGCAACTGCTTGGCATGCCTCACGTGTGCAGCTAATTGGCATGCCTAAAAGATGCAACTGCTTGGCATGCCTGACGTGTGCAGCTACTTGGCATGCATGAAATATGCAACTGCTTGGCATGCCTGACGTGTGCAGCTACTTGGCATGCCTGAAATATGCAACTGCCTGGCATGCCTGACGTGTGCAGCTACTTGGCATGTCTGAAAGATGGAACCGCTTGTCAAGCCTAACATGTGCAGCTACTTGGCATGTCTGAAAGATGGAACTGCTCGGCATGCCTGACATGTGCAGCTACTTGGCATGTCTGAAATATGCAACTGCTTGTGAAGCCTAACATGTGCAGCTACTTGGCATGTCTGAAATATGCAACTGCTTGGCATGCCTGACATGTGCAGCTACTTGGCATGTCTGAAATATGCAACTGCTTGGCATGCCTGACGTGTGAAGCTACTTGGCATGCCTGAAAGATGGAACTGCTTGTCAAGCCTAACATGTGCAGCTACTTGGCATGTCTGAAATATGCAACTGCTTGACATGCCTGACATGTGCAGCTACTTGGCATGTCTGAAATATGCAACTGCTTGGCATGCCTGACATGTGCAGCTACTTGGCATGTCTGAAATATGCAACTGCTTCGCATGCCTGACGTGTGAAGCTACTTGGCATGCCCGAAATATGCAACTGCTTGTCAAGCCTAACATGTGCAGCTACTTGGCATGTCTGAAATATGCAACTGCTTGGCATGCCTGACATGTGCAGCTACTTGGCATGTCTGAAATATGCAACTGCTTCGCATGCCTGACGTGTGCAGCTGCATGGCATGCCTGACATGGGCAGCTGCCTGAAATATGCGTGATAGGCATGGCGGTTTGGCATGGCAGCGCGGTCCCACTGCTTGGCATGCCTGATAGCTATGGCTGTTTGTCATGCCTGACATATGCAACCGTATTTGGCATGCTTGATAGGTGCTGCCTTTTGCTGACGGAGGGGGTGTGCTTGTCAGCGAGGCTGCTCCTCGCAGCTCAGGGGGTGCAACTGATTCGTGGGGCTGATGGGTGTGGCCTCCTTGTTTATGTTGGAAGGTGTCGCTGATGGGTGTGCATGCTGGGTTCCCCCACTAGCCCTTTCGGTCACCTCCCAGGCTTCACTGCACCTGCCACTCTTGTACCCCCCCCCCTCTTCTCACAACTTCCCCTCCCACACCATCTTTTGACCTTCATCCGCCTCTCAGACACGCCCTAAAGTGTTGCAGATTCCTTCCACCCGTGATTGTGTCCCACGCAGCTCAGCCCGTGACAGTTATCTATTTGAAACCTATTTATTGTGTGGTAACCGTCCTCCCTACACACCCTTGGGCACCGGCCCTGTTGCCGGTTATTCTCTTGAAGTCCCTTGCATTCCGAGTACTCATTTGTGTATGATGTTGTTGAACTAAGCTAGTAGCACGCAAAGACTATACAACAAAGCATGTCTTCTTGAAATCTCACAACACCACATGCACAGAACAACAACGGATGTACCGGTATGACCGAGGACCAGAGTAGCAGACATGCTATTGAAATAAAAGCACATTTTCTCTCATAGCCCCACCACAACGCCACACTGTAGGGGGAGATGTGAGCACAATGAGAGGGGGAGCAGAGGGCAAGGAGAGGGGGAGCAGAGGGCAATGAGAGGGAGAGGAGGACAAGGGGAAAGGGAGATGAGGATAGGGGGGAGGGGAGAGGAGTACAAGGGGAAAGGAGATGAGGAGAGGGGGAAAAAGAGGGGAGGACAGGGTGAAAGGGAGAGGCGGATAGGGGGAAAGGGACAGGAGGCTAGGGGGAAAGGGAGAGGAGGACAGGGAGAAAGGGAGAGGAGGATAGGGGGAAAGGGAGATGAGGACAGGGGGAAAGGGAGAGGCGGACAGGGGGGAAGGGAGAGGAGGGTAAGGGGAACGGGAGAGGAGGACAGGGGGAAAGGGAGAGGACAGGGGGAAAGGGAGAGGAGGACAGGGGGAAAGGGAGAGGAGGATAAGGGGAAAGGGAGAGGAGGACATGGGGAAAGGGAGAGGAGGACAGGGGGAAAGGGAGAGGAGGACAAGGGGAAAGGGAGAGGCGGACAGGGGGAAAGGGAGAGGCGGACAGGGGGAAAGGGAGAGGCGGACAGGGGGGAAGGGAGAGGCGGACAGGGGGGAAGGGAGAGGCGGACAGGGGGAAAGGGAGAGGCGGACAGGAGGAAAGGGAGAGGCGGACAGGGGGAAAGGGAGAGGAGGACAGGGGGAAGGGGAGAGGAGGACAGGGTAAAAGGGAGAGGAGGACAGTGGGGAAAGGGTAGAGGAGGATAGGGGGGAAGGGAGAGGAGGACAGGGGAAAAGGGAGAGGAGGACAGTGGGGAAAGGGAGAGGAGGATAGGGGGGAAGGGAGAGGAGGACAGGGGAGAGGGGATAGGAGAATTGGGGGAAAGGGAGAGGAGGATTGGGGGAAAGGGAGTGGAGGAGAACAGGAGGGAACTCTAAGGAGGCTGGGGAAAAGGAAGGGGGAGCAGAGGGGAAAGGGAGGGAAAGAGAGGGGGCGCAGAGGGGAAAGAGAGGGGGAGCAAAGGGGAATGAGAGGGGAAGCTGAAGGGAATGAGAAGGGAAACTGGGGGGAAGGAGGCGGGAAACTGGGGGGAAGGAGGCAGGAAACTGGGGGGAAGGAGGCGGGAAACTTGGGGGAAGGAGGCAGGAAACTGGGGGAGGAGGCGGGAAACTAGGGGGAAGGAGGCAGGAAATTGGGGGGAAGGAGGCGGGAAACTGGGGGGAAGGAGAGGCGGTGGAAACAGAGAAAAAATGAGGGGATAATGGAGTGGAGGATATGAGGAAGAGCGGGGGAAACATAGACAAAGGGAGGTGAAAGGGAGAGGAGGAGATGTAGAAACAAAGAGGGGAAGAGGGGAAAACGTGGAGGAGAAGAGGGAGATGGAGCTGAGGGGGAAAAGATGGGGAGGGTGTGGGAAACGAGGGGGAGTTGAAGGGAAGGAGAGGAGGAACTGAGGCAAATGAGAGGGGGAAATTGAGGAGGGGAAAACGGGTGTAAGCAGTGTGGGGAAGAGAGGGGGAAACATGAAGGAGGAGAACGTGATACGGAAGGGAGGAGAGGGAGGGAGCATATCCTTGTTTTCTTCGTGGCAAATTCATGCACTTTGAGCCCCCTGCGCATCTCTCGCCTAGCCATCGCCTATCCAGTCGCCTCGCGACAAGGGGAAACGAGAAGCGCGACGAGGAGCAGGGAGAAGCGCGATGGGGAGGAGGGAGAAGCGCGACGAGGAGGAGGGAGAAGCGCGACGAGGAGGAGGGAGAAGCGCGACGAGAGGGCCGCGTTCCCCACGAAAGGGGGGTAGGTAGAAGGACGCCGTGGGGAAGGTCGACCCGGGGGAGGGCTGCGGTTGCAAGGATGGGAAGGAAGAATAGCGACGAGGTGGACGGGAGACGGGTGTCGAAGGGAAGGGCTGCACTTGCAACGAAAAGGACGGAGGAGGTTGACGAGGGGGAAGGGACCTGGGCGACGAGGGGGAAGGGACCTGGGCGACGAGGGGATGGGAGATGGACCTTCGAGGTGAATCCCCGCTGAGTGGCAAGGGGAAAGGCCTCGGCATTAGTGCTCGAAAATGCCTCGGCGCTTGTGTCCTAGTGAGAGATCCATACGTGCAGCGGTATGCGTCGCTAATAAGGAAAAAAATGAGACAGCATGGGCTGTTAAACATG